GTGTGGCGAAGGGTGGCTCAAACACCAACACATCTTCGCCGACATCGACCCCACATTAGAGATGATGGCTGTACTCAACCAATACAGTGACAAGGATTGGGAAAAAAGGCCCAAACCGGGCACTGCTGTCGGCGACGACACATACTTAGGTCACGGCTCTATTATTGTGTTCAAATTTGATCAGGTTATCAAATATTGTTATAAAACTCTCGCTGATGGCCGACCCGAACAGGTGGTGGAGAATTATTTGTTATTTTTTAGTACTTTATTATAATTTGTTTGGGTTTTCAGTGCAAACCAGAAAACCTAAAAATATTAATCAATTGTACGGACAGTGCTGTGGAACCGACGGAAGGCAAGACAAAAAGCTCATCCAATTGGTCGAAGACAATAATTTTTGTGGTGTTTATTGCGGCCATTATATTGTGTGTTGTCTTTGCAGTCAATTATCAATATTTATATGAATGTAAATCTCTATTAAGAAATTAGTTTTGTTGTGAATTATTGCAAAATTAATGTAAAATTATTTTTTGACAGCAAATATGAGTAAATCAGACAAAACAGCGAAACCAAAGAAATCTCCGCCAAAAGGTTTGCCAAACAAATGATTGCATTTCTCATCCCAAGCGAGAAATGCAATCATTTTTTAATTGTTTTGTTTGTAATGAAATTAATGTGAATTTAATTTTGCTTTAAAGCAATTCAAGCGACTACTGGTGTGAAAGGAAATGCCTCTGCAATGGAAGGCACGTCCCAGCGATCGGGTATTACACAAATATAAACATCTATTTATTGTTAAATTGTTTTAAAATTTTTTAATTTGTAACTTTTATATGAAAGTCATTCCTATCGGGAATACAAGGACTGCACAGAAATCGCCAAAAGACAGTCAACAGACCACTACCTCCTCAAAGGCCTTATCGCCCAAAACGCCGGCCACTCCTCAGAAGTGATAGTTTTTAAAATTCAATTTACATTTTTTTTATCTTAAATTAGAACTCAATTCTTATTATAAAAGCATTCATTAAAACATAACTATTCAATAAAAACAACACTCAAATCAATAAGATTTTAAATATTATTATTATATTATAATTTATAAATCAATTTAATTATTAATTTCTAAGATATACAGCAATAGTTATTTTTCAAAACATGATTTACGCACAAAGCGGTAAAACTCGTACAATTAACATTGATTACGAGATTAATAGTGAGGAAGTATATCAAAGTTTTAACAAAACATATCTTTTGTTTCTTTTAAATTATTCATTGAATTCATACATTATTTTATGCTTTAATTGTTTTTCATTCATATCTGTCTTTAAATGATATAAAATCGTATTACAATTAACTCTAAACTCTATTTTTAAACAAAATATTAAATTTAAATTATTTTTATAAATTACTTGTGTTTTAAATAGAAATATCACAAAAATATAATATATATTTGGTTTCAAATTAATTTATTTATTTAAGAGAGAGAGAGAGAGAGAGAGAGAGAGAGAGAGAGAGAGAGAGAG